GGCAGGCGGGAATCGAACTCATGCGGAAGTGGCTTCAGATTCTCAGTGCTGTGCTTTAACCCGCTGCGCCACCAGGGAGGGCCCCCCCCATTCTTTTTTAATTAACGCTGAATGAACTTGTATGTCCATTATTAGTTTCAGGTGTACAAGGTAATTTGCCATTTGTATAGAATGCAGAATCACTACTGAGTGAAAAACTTGCTCTCAGCAGTTTTTCACACTTGCAGTGTGATTGACAGCCAGCATCTGTATTAGTTTCAGGTGTACAACTCCCAGCTATAAACGCTTGGTCTTAAATGCAACCTAATTTATTCCTTCGTCATCTTTTCTATCCTCTATACAGTTGTTCCACTCTGGAAACCTCATAGTAATTAATAAAACTTACAGTATCATATCACTGTCTCCCAATACACTTAGAGTCTAGCAAAAAGTCCTTTTACTGTCTCTCGGGTTATCATTATAGCCACTCTGTCACAGCCTATACTATCTAAGAGTCTAGCTTGGCTTATTTCCTTCTTCCTCCCACACCTCCTCTTCACCCCCACCCCTTATATTCTCCATGCAGCAGCCAGAATGATTGTTGTTAGAAATATAAGTCAGAGCAGTCAGAGCAAACTTTTAATGACTTTCCGCTGCATTTATGATCAATTTGAACTTGCTACTATAGCCTGTAAGTTCCTGCATGATATAAACTAACCGGCTGTAGCCACTCATTTAGCAGTATACCTCGGCTCACCTTCCTTCCCTCACAGCTGTTTCTTCTGAAGAGCCATTCTCTTCAGTCATTTGGACCTTTGCTCACTCTGTATCCTGTTTGTGTCATTCTCCACCATTCCGTAATTGTTGACTCATCTTTCCTACCTCAGTTTTCTCAGAAGACTTCTGACTTCCATTTACTGGAGACCCCTTGTTCCTCCCATTGACTTTTTCTTTATAACTTTTAATTAATTATAATTACAATTTAGCTGATTTGTCCTCGGGGTGACTCCCTGTTTGCAGAAAAACAGAATAGAGGGCAAGTGGCCTCTTTTAAAATGTGACATAAAAATTGCTAATATTCCTGAAGCCTGCATCTGTTGGCCAAAACTTCCTCATATGGCCTCACATTCCTGGAGGGGAGGCTTACCTGCCTCTCTGTTAGCACTGTACACATAGTGCCTGGTACATAATAGGATTTCATTAAATATTTGATGAATAAATGACTTCTATGCTTTGGCATGTATAGCCATCTCTACTTTCTTCTGGCAACAAATGTATCTATTATCTTTACATTTCATTTTCTGTTTTCTTTGTTTTTCTCTTTTCAGTTGAGCATCATGAAAGATGAGCCTGAAGAAGCTGAGCATATTTTGCATGATGCTCTTCGTCTTGCCTATCAGAGTGATAACAAGAAGGCCATCACTTACACTTATGATTTGGTAACTCTTCTAACCAATCTGAAACACTGATGATGGTGGGTGAATGCAAAAGAAGGGATGTTAGCTTCTCTCATTTATATTCCAAAACTTCAGAAAGTACTAAAGCTCCACTGTTCTGTTTGTTTTTCTAGTTTACTTTTGGTTTCCATCTTTATTCTTGGGAGTCATTTATAAGAAGCCCAATCTTAAACCAAAAAGAAACATATCATTAGTATTTCTTTCTTCAGTAATTAGTGGATCTAGATTTAGTTTGCCATCAGCAAAATAAATGAAAGTATATACTCACACTGTTGCTGTCCTTTGTTTCTAATAGATCAGTTGGTGAGATATTTTAATCTCTGAACTATTTTTTTCTTTATTTGGGGGGTTAGGGAAAGGGACGTTATGGTCTAAAGGTTTTGAAAGTAGAAACACAGTGCCCTAAACTGAAAAACAATTTATATTTGATTTCAGATGGCCAACTTAGCATTTATACGGGGTCAGCTTGAAAATGTAAGTAAATCACTTTATAGTACTAAATTTATAAATAGCTAGCCTCAAGGCCATTGTGTAGTAAAAGTTCTAGACTAAGCTTCTGTAACAAAGAGACCCAGAAATAGTGACTCACCAAGAAGGCAGTGTATTTCTCTTTAATGCATTAGCCCAGAGATAGCTAAACATTTTAGTGGAGAAGAGATACTTTGAAGTGATCTAGAAACCCAGGTTCATTCTAATGGCCTTGTCTGCATACATGAGCTGGCTTATATCCAGCTTAAGGGAAGGAGGAAAGAGGATAGAGGGCAGGCATCTTTCTTATAAATTGTTCTAAAAAATTGTTCACATTCCCTCTGTTTGCAGTCTCTTCACCAGAATTTCATCATGTGACCACATCTAGCTGCAAAGGAGGCTGACCCGTTAAAAACAGAGGAGATTCTGTAACTAAAAAACATGGACAGGAAAGTGACTATTAGGGAACAGTTTGCAGTCTGCCTTAGTGAGTTTGAATTAGGAATTAATTTCTAAAGTGGGTTTCGACTCACACAGAGTGGATTTTTAAGAGGATGTGGTGTTCTGGCGCATTAGTTATTTTCCTGTCATAAAGATCCTTTTACTCTGTGTGTGTGCTATTTTATAAGCAATGATGGATCTGACTAGTACTTAGAATCCAAGATTACAGCCTTTCCTGGTGGCGCAGTGGGTTAAAGTGCAGCACTACAAGGTGGCTGCGGCCATTTTAATGCAAGTTTGATCCCCGGCCCCAGCACGGCAGACCTATTGACCCGCCCGCTGCTCCCCTCAGTAGTGTACTTCGTGGATCTGCCTGTCCTGCTCCCTACTCTGTCTCTGGTGAATCCTCTTACTGACCCTGTACCCCACTTCTGTATGCATAAATAAATACATGTAAAAAATATTCCAAGATTACACATATAGTGGGACCAATGTAAAAGAAAATTTTTTTTTCTTTTAGGCAGAAAAACTTTTTAAAGCAACAATGAGTTACCTTCTTGGCAGTGGTATGCAGCAGGTAAGTGTTTGCCTAGGGTTGGGCCCTAGTTAAAGCAAAGTTTGGAAAAAAGCCTTGCTATTTTGAAGAAACCAATTTGTTGATACCCAACCCACTCCCCAACATATTTGTTGTCCAGAAAAGGCAAAATATGTCCTCCCTACCCCCCCCCCCCCCGCCACATCAGCCTTTTATTCATGCGGAAGCATGGTGGCCAAGAGATTCCACAGTTGCCAGATTCCTCCAGAAGATAAATATTTTGGTGTTTAGGCCAAAGTTTTTCAAAGTTGATTTGAAATATTCCCTGAGGAGATTTTACTTGTCATCAACATCATATTTTCTTTCTTCTAACAGGAGGACAATGCAATAATTGAAATCTCTCTAAAGCTGGCTAGTATCTATGCTGCTCAGAATAGGTAAGTGTAGTTAGAATTTAGGTGTGGCAGTAGTGAGGGATTAGGGATGTAGGAGAAAACTTTGATCCCAAGATGGTAAATAATCTTCTTTGGCAAATTAACCAATTGTCTCTCCAAAGAATTTGGTGTCAGACTCAGAAGTTTTCCTATTCCTCATCTTTGAAATCTTCAGGTTTCTCATGTTTGTCCCAGCTGTTCCCATTAGGAAGGGCACCAAGGTCTCACACCTCTGGCTGCTCAGTGATAAAGCTAATTGAGCTTTCCAAGTCAGTTAGGAAGGGAACTTTTAGTTTGAACTTTAGCTATTCTCTGAGGAGATAATTTTAAAACTGCTGGGGATAATATACTTTGCAGAAACCATTCTGCTGATATCAGCAAAACAGGAAGTGAGATATGAAAACAGTTGCTATAGGAGTGTCTCAGTGACCATTTCTGTGGGGAGTGCTTTTAAAGTATATAGCTAGATTATAGGGTGAGGAAGTATCTAGGAGTAGAAAAGAGGTCTTTGTATAATTAGGAAGGGAAATCATTGTTAACTTAGAAATATCAGATGAGTCTAAAGACCTATAAAGAAGACAGTGCCAACTGCAGGGACACTTTAGAAAATAATTTGCATGTGTATCAAAGGTCAGGAATATTGATGAGTAAGCTTGGTGCCATTCTTTCTGGGTGGAGTTCACAGAAAAAACATGTAAGATGTAAGCAGCTCTAGAAAGTTGTTTTGGGGTGAATTTAAGGAAAATAGCAAAGGCTGCCTTTTCTAAGGATTTCAGTTGTTGCTCAAGTTGGGTGCCAGCAGTTTGGAATGACAACATGCATGCTTGGTGCTGCACGAGGAGTGCCTACAGAGACCGGGGCCTGGCACTGGCCCCTTTGCCCTAGGCAACAGTTCTTTCCTTCTCAGCAGAATTTTTTAGTCTTCTTGCATTTTGATTGGCCACTAGATAGCCTCTGACATGCTTTGAATTAAAGTCTTTTGAGGAGCTTTGAGCTTGGCTTGTGTTGGAGAGCATTTGCAGCTTTGATCAGTCTTCTTGGGAATGGGAACAAAAAGGGCTAGATACTGATAGGATATAAACTCCTAGTGTAAGAGAGCCCCAGAGTTGTTAAATACAAGCAAGTAAGATATTCATTGTCCTGGAGAGATGAAAATTTTTATAGTGATCGCTGATAATCTGCCTGTAAGGTACTCTTTTCTTGCCTCAGGTGTCTTTGGGTTTGTTTTCACTTTGTTTTATAGAGAAGCATAAGACCAGAAATGATATGACTGGATTCTAGGGCTTTGAAAGGCTAATGTGAAGCAGGGGAGTGTATAGGCTTTTTGCTCTCACTGGAGCACTGTATAGGTACTCTTCCCCTAATCCCTGTGCTAGATAGTTGGGTACCTCCTGCCAAGGTCTGGGTCTGAGAATAGAAGGGGTTCTGTTCTTCTAACGACAGTAAAACGTTGGGATCACTTGATCTTCCTTGGCAGAGAACTAGAGGAGCAGAGATGAGCTTTGTAGTGCCCTTCTTTAAAAGGGGGAAAAAAAAGGCACAAAATGGAACTAGAGTTCAAATGGAAGAACAGAATTCAAAACTGAGGAACAGAATTCAAAACTGAGTTTCTGCTTGGAGAAGGAATTTTTCTCATGTTCCTGTGCATCTCTTTATAGAAACCAATGAAAGTCAAAAGTCAGTCTGCCTGCTTGTGTGTCCTTCTTAAGTGACTGAGGGTTGTGGCTATAGAAGAGGGTTAAATGCCTTCCAGTGCTATAGCTAGAAGTTCATTTCTATAAAGAAACACTCATCAAAGAGCTACAGCGTAGAAGAAGTAAGTGAATAAACCTTTCCACACACTTTATGAGGTCGGAGGTGGAATCCTTACTGTAGGGTTTAATAGACCTTTAATCTTCCTTGGTTCATACTGGTAGATTAAATTCATATTGTTACTGGAATGAGATTTTTCATAAATGGAGAAAAAAAGACTTGAAACTATATTAGTGGGGAGATAATGAAAACTAATAGTTATGTCAATCATTAAAACTATAGATTCCTGGCTTTTATGTCTAAAATTACGTTAAATGGATGCTTAAAAATAATTTTTGAGAAATTTTTGAGACAGATTAACATTCCTTAGAGACTAAACAAAAGTCCATCATCCCTTTTTATACTTATTTTTGATAATACTCAAACCGAAGCTAGAAAAATGAGGGTAAAGGAGCAGTTTGTAAGAAAGTAAACGATTGCTCATCTTTTTCTTACAGACAAGAATTTGCTCTTGCTGGCTATGAATTCTGCGTTTCAACTCTTGAGGGAAAAATTGAAAGAGAAAAGGAATTAGCAGAAGACATTTTGTCAGGTAGGGAAACCTGACTCTTCTGGAAATTGAATTTTTGCTGCAAATAACTTCAGTGTTTCACTGTTATTAAGAGAAAGGTATGTAAATTGTGGAAGGGAAAGTTACCCATTTTGGAAGTTAAGTGAATTCCTAAGATCTTGGGGAAAGGATTTGGAAAAGATGTTATGTTGAAACTACCATTTTTTAAAAAAAGCCCTTGATAACATGTTCATAATTTATCTGTTTCTTTTTAATTATTTGTTACCTGAAAAATTGAAGGTCAGAAAAGGAAGGTGTTTCCATTTTTGGTTTGACTACCAATCAAAATTCTAATTTCCAAATATACCAACTTATGAAAGATGAAGAGATGCTCATGTTTTTGTATCCTTATTATGCTGGAAACAGAGTGGGATGGGCAGCAAGCTCTAACTCTTAATATGGTTTAAGGTTTTGGAATTTTTAGATTTGACGTTTATTTAGTAATGCATTTCAAGAGCCAGGAGCTAGAGATGCTTATAATATAGCAGTCATCTCTATTGTCCCTAAAGTAATAAATATGCCTTGAAAGAGTTTTCTGTGTGTTTCCCAATTGCCTATGGACATAATTTTCATATCTCTACACTGAAGACATCAAAATCACCAGTTCTCAGCCTTTGTCTTTCTGGATACACTTTTTAGCACCTTTGCCCCAGGTGCTATTCCCGATTGAGAACACTCACTCACTGGGCCTCCCATAACCTCCCTGCTCAGCCCCTTCACTCACACACTAGGAAGTACCATTTAGTCCCAACCTTTATTTTAGTTATTATTTGTCATTTGCTTATGTGTTTATTTAACTTTGGGATTAATTTTTGCTCCTCCACTGAAGGTCAGAAAAGGAAGGTGTTTCCATTTTTGGTTTGACTTTGCCTTCACCACACCCCCGTGACAATCCCTCTTCCTGATCCCGTGCTTTAACATGCATGTGAACTGCAGTCCACTGAGTAAGGTGTCTCCCCGACATCTTGACCTGAATGTCTAATGGTCATCTTAATGTGTGGAAAATGAACCTCGTGATTTCTGCCTCGCAAATTTGTTTCTCTACTAGTCACGCCCTAGTATTTTCCTCTATATTCTATACTACATTCAGTTGTTTGGGCCTGGAACCCAGGAATCATCCACGATTTCTTCCTCATTCCCTGTATGTGATTTACATGACTCAGCAAGTTATATTGACTTATGGGATATCTTTGCTAGGCCATGTCTTATCCTCCTGCCCTACCACTTTGGTCCAGGCTGTAGTTGCTTCTTACTTGGACACCTGTAACCTTAGATTTTCCTGTTCCCCTTCATCTGCAGCAGCACAGCAAATTTTTAAGAATCCAGTGCTTTTGTATTCCTTTCAGTTAGTACAAAATCCCTGCCCCTTACAAATTTGTTTTTCTACCTACTTGATGATGTGACTTTTACCACATTATCTACATCAGCATGTTGCTCATTCAGCTTTCACTACACGGGTCTTTCTTTTGACAGTATCCTTTTTTTTTAAATTTATAATTTATATATATTTTTTACATCGTTCTTCCTTTTTGATGTGTGATTTCTCCTTTCAGGTGTAGTCCTTGCAAAATTCCTACCCATGCACCATTACCATAGTCTCTTGTGTAAGAATACATACTATCCCCTGTTTTGATCCCTCTCTCTCCCTTGCAGAGTATCTCTGATTAATAGATGCCTATTAATTTGTTTTTTAGTTGCTTATAATTATTTTTTTCCTGGTCCTTTACTTGGTTCCCCTACATTCCTCCTATATAAGTGAAGCCATCTGATTTTTTTCCTTCTGGCTGAAGCTTCATCCACCTTGCTGCGTATGGCATGGGTTTATCTTTTATGATCACTTAATAGTATTCCATTGTGTATATACCACATCTTCATCCAGTCATCTATTTTTGGACATTTGGGCTGTTTCCATATCTTCCCTGCTGTAAATAGGGCTGCAATAAACATAGGGTGCAGGTGTCCTTTTAAATTAATCTTTTTGTGTCCTTTGGGTAGATTCCTAGGGGTGGAATTGTTGGATCATATGGAAGCACCATTTTTAGTAGTTTGGGAAATCTCCACACAGCTTTCCTTAGTGGTTGGACCACTCCTACTGGAGTGTAGGAGAGTTTCTTTTTCTCTACATTATTGCCAACATTTGTTTTTTCCTGTATGTGTCATTTTCACTGGATTACACTGGTCTTTTTCTCACTGTTCTTGTACATTTCGAGCTCATTGACCTCTCTAGACCTTTTTACTTGATTTTTTTTTTTACTTCTATTTTTTTTTCTTTTTATGTTCTATGTAGACTTGTCCTATGCCTTTCAGTGGCTATTCCCTTCACGCAGTACTCTGCTAAAGTATCACTTTAGGAAGAAGACCTCTCCTGACTAAAGCCATCATCTGTTTCCATCATAGTATCTCTCTAGTACTTTATCCTTCTTTTTGTTCATTATACTTGAAAGTAGGGGTGGGTGTATGTATTGTGTGCTTCTATTTATTTTCCCACTAAAAGTATTTTTGCTCAAGAATATGTCTTTTCAGTTAAAGCGGGTTAGAGACTTCATTTGTTTTGTCCACTACTACTAAATATTTGGTACATAGAGCAGCAGTGTCTGGGACATAAAAGAGGCTCAGTAGGGCCCTCCCTGGTGGCGCAGCGGATTAAAGCACAGCACTAAGAAGCTAGTGCCACTTCCACATGAGTTTGATTCCCGCCTGCCCCGGAGGTGACCACATGGCGCAGCAGACCTCTCCTGACCCTCCCACTGCTCCCCTCAGCAATGTACTTCATGGATCTGCCTGTTCTGCTCCCCGCTCTGTCTCTGGTGAATCCTCTCACCCTCCGCATCTCTGGCCTGTACCCCAATTCTGTTTGAATAAATAAATCTTTAAAAAAAAAAACAAAACAGTAATTTTACAACAGAAGATCCGGTAAAGTCCAACAAGTTCATAAAGTTCAGTGCAGTGTGCAGTGCAGTGTGGAAGTGCTTTGAGAAAATAGACAAGAGATGTAAAAACAAGGTTAGCTGTCAAGTAAATCACTCTTGAACTCTTCACACCCTTGCTGTCTTTCATTTATAAGCATTGAGGATAGTTTCTTAAAAGTGTAAATCTTGTCTGACTCCAAAAATAACCTATGTATTAAAAAAATTAGAAAATATTAAAAAATAAAAATATATTCATAGCACTGAGAAAGAGCTGTTTTTTTTTTTCCCTTTTTGGTGTATGTCTTCTCAGGCTGTTTTTCCCCTACACAGTTAAATTTTGAAAAACATTAGCAGTCATACAACTCATAACCTGTTTTGTTTTTTTCCAATATATGTCAAGATGACATCTCCCACAATCAAATTCTTGTTGGAGAAAGAAAACTAATTTGTATTATAAACAACTAGTGCAATAAAGAAAATGCTACATTAATCTTACTTTTTTCCAGAGGAGAAATATTTTTCCCCTTAGTTTTGAATGAAGCAAAGCCATTATTCTAATTCCTTTTATCAATATGACTAAATCTGTCCAAGGTACTACTTCAGATTACATAAAAACTTGGTCTAGGGTACTCATTTCGTTCTTCATATTATAGATATATATGTAGTTACTGAAGAAGTTCCCTTAAGAAGTTAAGTGAAAATATGAGTATTGCTAGGAAGATCCAAATTTTTTAAAGTATATAGACAAAAATATAGATATAATTCAAGGGTTGAATGACAGATAACCAAAATATATAAGGATTATCTAGTTTGGTAGGTTTATAGGGAATTTTGTTTTACTTGTTTTTCTGAATATAAATTTAAAGTTTTTCTTTTTAGAATTCTAACGGGGATTGCAACTGAGGAAAAAAAATTATTTACATTATTTACATAGTACAAAATGTCAAAGATACAAAAATTTAAGAACAGCATTTCCTTGTTTCACTTCTTAGAGTTTAGGCATTTTTGATTTATATCTTTTGTCTTCTGTACTTCTAAAATTACTGATTTATTTTCAGAATATGCTGACTTACAGAACAGTGAAGAGGTAGTGCAATTTTGGCTATGTATCTTGATTGCATAATTACATTTTCTTTTGCATAGATTTTTTTCTTTTGCATATAGCTTTTGTTTCTGCAAGAGTTTAGAATTTGGTTGTTTTTAATGTATATGACAAATTCTTGTATTCATTTTCTTCAATTCCTATGCTTTTGTGAGGTCCTAGTGAACAATTGATCTGTTTCTCACGGGCAAGCATGTCATTTGTAGGCATTCTCTCATGTCAGATGCTTAGTCACCACTTTTTCCTTTGCTTTTTATCTCTGTCATCTTTCTTGATCCTTCTACTTCTATTTCTGACTTTGTCTTTTTATCCTTAAATTTTGACTTTAGTGATATTTGGGTCGGTAAAGGAGATAATGCAAGTGTTTAGACCAGAACTGTAAATCTGCATAGTAATTCAGTGTTCTGTCACTGGACTGAAGGTGGTAGTATCCAGATGTTTCTTTAGTGTAGATTCTGCCACTGAGGTCAAAGTAACATATTTTCAAGTGGTTGAATATTGTGAAATTGAGCTTGAAAACAACCCAAACCAGTTGTATTGATTTATACTTTCTGGTTGTGCTAATAGATTTGCTTTGTGAGTTTGGTCAGATTATTTAATCCCTACATGATTTTTGAAAAACAAATTTATTCATCCAAGAGTTAGTGTGTAAGCTAGAGGTGTGAGGGTTGGGGGGGTAGTAAGAGGATTCACCAGAGACAGAGTGGGGCACAGAACAGGAAGATCTGCTGTGGAGGGGAGCAGTGGGCAAGGCAGGAGAGGTCTGCTGCCTGCTGAGCCAATGTGGGCCTGCTCCCCAGCCAGAGATCAACTTCTGTTACAGTGGCTGTGGATAGCTTCATAGTGCTGAAACTTAACCCCTTGCACCACCAGGGAGGCGCTTACTTGTTTTTATTATTGTGAGAGAGCAGTATGTGTAGTTCTGACCCCAATTTCAATATAAGTGTATAGAGGTCTCTCTTCATACTAAG